GACTATTCCTCCCCGACTCACAGCATTTCTGCCGTATCAGCAGCACCCTGTGAGACACCTGCCTTGCCTTTTCAATCCCCGTGCGGCCGGGGGGTGGGCTGATCGGGATTCCTGTACCCCACTTCAGGTAGAGTTGAAGAGTTGATTGTTGGCTCCTCTCTTCCTGGAGCTGGGATGCCAAGAAAGCCGAGAGGGGCTGTGTCTCTCTGAGATGCATCCCTTGGCTTCCTCTGGTGCGGGCAGCCTCTTTGCATGTAGTTTTCACCTTCACCTGATTTTTTGCTTAAACAGGATGGTAACCAACGAATTCCCAATCAGCCCTGTTCTCCACACCCAACAAACAGACTCTCCCCAAGTCAAGAATCCATCTAGATTCACTCAATTGCTTAACCAATATTTATTGGGGGGGGGGGAAGTGCTAAGAGCTGCACCTTGTGGTAAATGCTGAGCAAACCCAGTATTCCCTAAAACAGGAAGCTTCCGGATAAACGTTTTGGGGACCTCAGGTAGAAACAGTGGAGTTAGTTCCATTCTTTTGCTCCTGGAACCCTACCAACTTTGGTCTGGGTAACTGATTACCTCGTAGCCCCAACCCCCAACCACTTCCTCCCACAGGCAACCATATTAATGTGGCTGGTACTTACTGGAATCTGGGAAATGTACATGTGTAGTGGGCATGTCTTTTTCATGACCACAAATAGTAAGACACTGTTTCTTTTGGTTGTCTGTTTATCTTCATTATGTAAGCCGGGAAACCTCAAGTATTGGAGAGAACATCTGGCTGCAGTGTTGACACCAGAACCCAGCGATGCCAGAGTGAAAGCAGCGAAGGCAGAGAAGGGCTGGTGCCATAACCCAGGGTGAGGGGTGGGAGGGTTGGTGGTGATTTGAACTCTCAGCAGGCATGACTGAAAAACTGAGAACAACCCCCATAGAGAAACTGCAGACAACAGCAGGCAGCCTATGGGCTCACAGAGAATGTTGGGTTGAAATCTTCCACCACCAGAAAAGGGCAGATTAGATGGGGCACAGTGTTTGGGTGTCACGGTTCTAGTCCCAGGGGATCCCACTCCTGAGCCTGGCTTTCTGGTAACGCCCACCATAGGAGGCAGCAGACGATGGCTAAAGCAGTTGGGTCCCTGCCGCCTTCCATTGGAGAGCTGGACTGAGCTGCTAGCTCCCAGCTTTGGGTTGAGTCAGGTCTGGCCTTGGTGCCCTTGTGGGGGAGTGAACCAGTGGGAGGCAGACACCTTCTATGTTTGTGTCTGCCTCTCGAATCAATAAGCACACATATATAAAAATAACGGGGCATCACATCTGTTATGCTGGCGAGAAGTGGAAGGCAGACACTGCCAAGTGCTGGGTGAGACAGAAGGGCTGAAACATCCTCTCGCACCTTTACTAGAATATAGAATGTGCCACACTTGACTGCTTAAGTCAAGTTACTCCTACTGCAATCCTACACGGTCCCAGCAGTTCGGTTCCATGGTATATTTATGACCCAGAGAAGTTTTCAGGTGGGGTGGACTGTGGGAACCGGACTTGAGGGCAGGGCAAGCCACCTCCACAGGGAGAATACATGGCTGCAATGTGTTATCCGATTCTGCAATGCAAGATCTCAAACTCCCCCGAGAAAGTGCAACCTGCAATCCTAACAGCATCCCGATTTTACAGACCAGGACCCCGACACACAACCTGCTTCCTAGCCAGCACAATCGCCGCAGCTGGAGGGCCACGGCTCGGGTCCAGGGGGGCTCCGCTCCGTCTGGGCAGTCAGCACCGCGGCCAGCGCCGGCCAGGGGCGGGGCATCGGCGGCGCCGACGTCACGGCGCTCCGGGCCCCTGCCGGGCGCGCGCTCGAGGGGTGCGCGCTCACGGGGCGGCGCGCACGTGACCGGGGATCGGCGCGGCGCGCGGCTCGCGGCCCCCTGACCTGCAGCCTCCGGACCGCGGCGACCCCCGCCCGGTGAGCGCGGCGGCCTGCCCCTGCCCGGGCCCCGCGTCCAGCGGCCCGCGTGTCTGCTTGGCAGGGTCCCTAGGCGCCGCTCTCCCCTGTCCGGAGTGGGGGGCCTTCGCCAAGGGCTGGAGGCGATGGGTGCGGGGAGGCAGCGGGGGAAGGAGCGTGACCTTGGCTCCGGCCTTGGCCGGCTGCGGGCTCCCCGGAGACCCCCGCTGTGGGGGCGCGCCCGAGCCGGCGAATGCCGGGTCTTGGGGGTCAGAGGAGGGACTTGGCGCGGGGTCTTGACCTGTGGAGGTTGGACCCGGGCACTGCGGGAGGCGCACAGGTGTGGAGCCGCAGGCAAGGGCCGCGTCTCAGGACGCCGTGGGCGTGGGGCCCTCACTGATGGCTCACTGCCGTGGGAACTGAAGGCTGAGTTGTCATGGCAGGAGGGGGCACCCGCTCGTGTCTCTCTAGTCCCCCCACCCCTCTTACCAGGGCCCTATCGTCCTCTGAGCTGCACCCCTCCCCCCGCCTTCCACGCTTGTCCAGCGGACCTTGGAACTGGTCCGTGTACCTTTGGTCCTTCCTGGGTGTTGGCTTTGGCTGGGCCCTGTGTCCCTGCGGAGGGGACAGGCACACCCCTGCTTGCCCTCTGGGGCCATCCGGGCCTCTCTCAGACAACAGCAGTGAGGGTCCAGGCTCTGCCTTGTCCCTGGTCTTGGGCTCTGGGGGAGGCACCTTCCCCTCTCTCCTGCCTCTGTTGAGTGCCCTTCTGGAGAGCTGCGGTGGGCGCAGACCTTCATCCAGGCCCTGTGCCCCTTGCTGCACACAGAGCTGTGCGTGCATAACAGGAGCTTGGTGTCCAGGGTGTCTGCTCTGGGTTCGCATTGCTGCGTGACTTTGTCCCTAAAAGGAGTGCCTCGAACTCCCAATTCCTTCCAAGTTGCCTTTGTGTGAACAGGGCCTCCTCAGGCTGCCTGAGGGCTCTGGTGCTAAGAACTGAGTCCTCCTGCGTGCATATGCAGACCTGGATGGAATTGGGCAATTGGAGGGGGCAGGGAGGCCGAGCCCTTCCTGCCAGGCCACCTGAAGGCCACTACAGTGGCTGCGGTAGACTGTACAGTGTTGGGGGGGCCATTGTTTGTGATCTGGGCCAGGCTAGATGGATCCTAACGTCCTCCTGGCTGGGCCTTCCCTGCAGGGTAGAGAGGGGTTGTTGATAGAGATGGGTGTAGGCCCTGGAGACTCCACAGCTGCTGGGGGTAGGATGGGGTTCATGTATGGGGTGTGGAATGGAGCAGTGTCTGTCCCGGGACCCCTTGGCAATGTGCATTATTTTTATTCTCACCATGGGTGGGCTCAGTGTTTCATGTCCTTAGCCGGGGCATGTATCAGACTTCCTTCATCGTTGCTGGGGGGCTTCCGATGCCCTCCGGGAACCCTGTTCGCACCAGGCCTGGTTAACCACACTTGTGTAATTTAGCCCTGATTCTGCTCAGGTCTCCCGTGTGATCAGAGGAGGTGGAGGATGGGGTTTGATCAGAACTTAAGCCTGCTGCTGTCAGGGCAGCCAGCCCAGGTGGCCCAGGGAAGCAGCAGGGAGCAAGGGCCTGGCAGGTGGAAAGGTTTGAGACAGTTGAGGCTCATTGTTCCATTAGGCCCAGTGGGACGTGTCTTTGCATTTTTAACTCCACCGTGTGTAGACTCGCTGCTGAGTGCCCTGCAGGGCTGAACCTCTCTCCATTGAGGAGCTCACCCCGTCCCTTGCCTCAGGTGAGTGTGCAGGGCGGGGGTGGGGAGGGAGGCAGGGAGATGGCAGGTTGCCCAAGCTGTGGTGCCTTGCTTCATTTTGGGCTCCTCTCCCACCTCCACCCCTGTGGAAGGTCTCTCCAGGCTATCCTGGAGGCAGGGTGGGGTGGAGGGCTGGGGGAAGTAACCCATTGACTAGACAGACTTTGCCAGGGCTGCTGGCACAGGGCCAGGCCTAGGGAGCGACAAAAATGGGTGGTTGTTTTTCTCATGGATTACTGAGCCATGCCAGGGAACAGCAGGTTCCTCAGGACATGGTGCTGGGCTGCACCCTGCTCCCTGGATAGGTCATTGCTCAGGGGGAGGTGCTCCATGTCCTGGCAGGGGCTGGGCTGTGGCAAAGCAGGGGGTTCATGTGTGTGTGTCAAGAGGGGCCGAGGGAGCTCTAGGCGGGGCAGGCCCTCGGGTCTGTCTCCCTTGACTTGAACTAGCTGGCAAGTGCAGGTAGCAGGGGCCTCTGGGGACTGTTCAAAGTCCCCAGACTTCCTGCACAATGAGCCCTGGGTTCTCCAGGCCTGGAGAGTCAGCGGAGGAAGCCCCAGCATTGCAGACCTGCTGCATAGAGAGTTTTCTCCATAAGAGTTCTGGGGCTGGGAGGAGGAGATGTGTGTATCCCCACACTGCAAGGAGCCCCAAGTGGCATTCGTCCTGGGGGTGATGCTGAGCAGGCGTCTGGGACCAGAGTAGCCACCACTGTGCTGCCTTCACTCTGTGCCTTCACTCTGTGGACACTGGCTTCCTGTTTGCACCTAGGAGTGGGCCAGGACTGAAGTCAGAGGGGGTCCCTGGGGTGCTTGGGGTCACGTGACCCCTTACTCTGCCTTTTCCTGACAGTGCAAGGCTCGTTTAGCCCGTTAGCCTCCCTGTCTGAGCACCAGTGTGCTGGGCTGCGAGCCTAGCCCTTCTTGGGGTTGCTGCCTGTAACCTGTGATCTTTTGGGGCAGGTGAGTCCCGGCGAGGCCTGAGCTGACCACTGCTTGGGCAGGGCCTGGGTGGTACGTGGGTCTCCACCAGGCCTTGGATAACTAGCAGAGGGAGTGTGGGCTGGGGTTACGAGGTGCTTGGGCTCTGTGGCTGGCATTTATCGAGGGGACTGTGCCACTGGTTGTGACCCCAGGAAAGCCTGGTGCTCCACTCCCTCTGTCTCATTAGTGCCTTGCCCAGGGCTACTCATCCAGCAGGACCATCAGGTGTCGAATGAATGAATGAGTCTCCTTCTGTCCTGGTCCATGGCTTAATCATCTCATTTCTTGTGTTCAGAATGAGTCAACTGAGGCTGCTGTCGACCAAGCTGGGGGCCCTGGCTGCCAGGCTCTTGGCTGCACCTCCTGTCCAGGTGCTGAGCTGCCGTGGCAGGTCCTCGGGACCCCCAGCCCCCTTCCCAGGCAGCAGAAGTGGAGGTGGCTCCAGTTACATGGAAGAGATGTACTTCGCCTGGTTGGAAAACCCCGAGAGTGTCCACAAGGTTGGTACCCGAACCTGGCTGACTGGGGCCTGGGGGGAGGTGGTGGGGAGCCTGCCTGTCTGCCATGCTGGCCGGGCACGTAGTCCCTGGAAAGGGGCTGTCCCCCTGGGGATGGGGCAGCCCGTTGGGTTCCTGTTGTTGAGCCTGTGGTGCCAGGGGGCGGGCGGGGTCGTGCTTGAGAACTTTATACTGCCCTGTATATCTCCTTGCCCCTGCCCATCATCCCTGCCCCTGCCTGGTATTCCTGCCCCTCTGTTAGACTCTGCTGACTCTTAAGTGGCCCCTGTACAAGTATGTCATCAGGAACATACGTGTTTCTGAAAGTACCCATATGATAAAATAGATGCCTACTGCTGATCAGTGACATCTGGTGGCAAGGTGGAAGGCGGAATGGGTGGCTGCCTCCTCTTCCCTTCCCCCACGCTCTGCAGAGGAAAGTAGTACGGTCACGTGACCCAGGACCAAAGGTGGCGGGGCTGTGTGGCCACGAGGCTGCCTCCCAACCCATCTTGCGTCTGTTGATTTACTCTTGGTTCCTCCTGCATCGCTGCTGAGGCCTTTAGGGACAGCTTCCTGGATTGGCCCTCCTTTCCAGGGAAGCAGCAGGGAGCTTGGGCGCCTTTGCTTTCTGCAGAAAGAGCTCTGAGGTCTTTCCGTGGGAATCCATTAGGAGCCCTGCTGTTCTTTTTCCGTGGCGGGAGCATGCCTTCTTGTCCTCGTTAACTGACGCCTGCATTGTTTCAGGCCCTGATTGGGGCTGAGAGTCTGTTTTTAGGGTTAATTTATTTTTATTTAATAATCAGATTTACAGAGAGAAGGAGAGACAGAAATATCTTCTGTTCACTGGTTCACTCGCCAAGTGACCACAATGGCTGCAGCTAAGCCAATCCAAAGCCAGGATCCAGGAGCTTCTTCCGGGTCTCCCACATGGGTGCAGGGTCCCAAGGCCTTGAGTCATTCTCTGTTGCTGCTTTCCCAGGCCACAAGCAGGGAGCTGGATGGGAAGTGGGGCAGCTGGATCATGAACCAGTGCTCATATGGGATCCTGGAGCATGTAAGGCAAGGATTTAGCCATTAGGCTGTTGTGTGGGCCCAAGAATCTTTGATTTTTGATGTATTTTTAATTTGAGAGAGCTTTACCCGCACACCCACACCAAATGGCTGCAACAGCTGGCCGGGCAGGGCTGAAACCAGGAGTCAGTACCAGCCCTGGTCACCAGGTAAATGGTGTGAACTCATGTGTTTGAGCTATCATTGCAGCCTCCTGGGATATGCGTTAGCAGGAAGCTGGGATTGCAAGTGGAGCTGGGACCCGGACCTGGACCGGGACCTGGACCCTCTGATGTGGATGCAGGATGTGGCGTCTTAACTCATGGACTAGACACCACGTGTGTGTGTGTGCGTGCATGCTGTTGTCACGTTGCTGTCTGTAGGGCTGTACCAACTGATTGTCCTCAAGGATGGGAATGTGTGAAGGAAAGCACACAGAAGCTCCTGTGCTTCTGCTTTTTATTTTTATTTATGAAGGATTTGTTTGGAAAGTGGAGTTACAGAGAGAGAGAGGGTACGTACACTCTTCCATCCACTCATTCATTCCTTCCCAAGTAACTGCAATAGCCGAGGCCGAGGCAGGCCAAAGCCAGGAGCCCGGAACTCCACTTTGGTCTGCCATGTGTCTGCACAGGCCCAAGTACACGGGCCCTCATCCATTGCGTGTCCACGTGCATTAACAGGGAGCTGGATGGGAAGTGGAGCAGCCAGGGCTTGAACCGGCTCTCACAGGGGCTGCTGATACTACAGACAGTGTCTGCCTGCTGTGGCACAGGCCGGCTGCTTCTGCTGTTTGTACCTGCACAGAGAGCGTCAGGACACGCGTCTTCTGTGTTCTTAATAAGTCTGGGAAATTGATAACCACAGTAACAGACACAGTTTTAGGTCTTTAAGGCTGTATGACTTAAATATTGACTTGTTTCATCGGTTTCTTGCTAATTGCTTTTGTGCTGTCATTTTATAGCACAAAAATCTTCAAAGAGTTCGGGGAAAGTGGAATTTAAAAATGAATTTATTCTAGTGCAAAAATTTTAGAATCCACACATTGTGTTTTTGTATTATGTACTTTCTGTAAGCTTTTTGAACAGCCGTTCGGTGCAGATTTCAAATTTTGGGAATACCAAAATAAATTCCTGACTCCGTTTTTCCATGACGTTTTGAAACACCCCACTGTAAGCAGAAGCAGGCTCATTTGTATCTGCATACCTGTAGAATGAATGACTCCCAGTGGAACTGCTGACTCCAAAGATACTTACAATGAAAATGCTGGTACTTGGGGCCTGTGCTGTGGTGCAGCAATTAAAGCCACTGCCTGCGGGGCAGGCATCCCAAATGGGCGCTGGTTCTGGTCCTACTGCTCCATTTCTGATCCGGCTCCCCGCTGATGCTCCAGGGAAAGTGGTACAGGATGGCTGAAGTGTTTGGGTCCCTGCATCCATGTGGGAGACCTGGAAGAAGCTCCAGGCCTCTGGCTTTGGCCTGGCCCAGCCATGGCCATTGGGGCCAGTTGGGGAGTGAACCAGTGGGTGGAAGATCTCTCTCTCTCTCTCTCTCTCTCTCTCTCTGGCTCTGCCTTACAAATAAATGATGAATCTCTTTGAAAAGCTGCTGAGGCTGCCTTGCACAGAGGCCTTCTGCCACCCCATGCTGTGAGGATGTCATATCTGCAGTCCATTCAGCCCCCATCACACCTCCCTTCCTTCCACCATGTAGGCAGAGTCCCAGGGGGAGCTGGGCTCTGCATGGGTGCCAGCCCGGCTCCCTTTTCTCCGGGGTACCCGACCCCAGCCACTATGGCTCTTCCCAGGCCTCTTACCCAGTTGCCCTCTTGATTCTATCTTGCTCAGTCTTGGGACAGCTTTTTCCGGAGAGCCAGTGAGGAAGCCTCTTCTGGCCCCGTGCAGGCTTGGGCCCCATCTGTCACCTCTGAGAGCAAACCCTTCGTCTCAGGCCGCACCAAGACCAGCAAGTTGGTGGAGGACCACCTGGCTGTGCAGTCCCTCATCCGGGCCTACCAGGTGAGTGCAGGTGGGGCATGGCCAGAGGCTGGTCTGGGAAGGCTGTCCCCAAGGAGCCCTTCTGGAAGCCCTTGTTGTGTTGCCATTTGGAGTACAGCCCCCTGGGTAGCTGGTGTGTGTGTGTGCTGACTGTGCCTGCGGGCTGTCTCCTGGAGTGTTTTTCTTCATGCACACACCAATCCCCAGGTTCCTACATCGAGGACACAGCTTTGCTTGATGCTGGATGAGACTTGAGTTGACTCACCTTGGGAATGTTTATTTTCTCCTGAATTCAGCCTGAGCATTCCAAGAGCACAGGGGCTGGCATACAGTGGGTGCTTAGTTGGTGCTTACGGAATGAAAGGGCAGTTGCTGTGCCTGGAGGTGGAGGCACTCCCATCATTGATGTACGCTCCAGGCCCGGGCTGTCGGGGAGTCCTGTCCTGGACCTTGAGCGAACAGGAGCAGCTGGAGGGCTGCTCTGAGCCCTCTTGCCTTAGCAAGTGTAATCGTGTCAGGATCTCTCTGGGAACTGGTGGCAGAAGACATTTCGTCAGGGAAACTTGACCTGCGGGCAGGATGCTGGGGATCTGGGAGGCCTAGGTGGGGACCCTGTGGGAGGGAGGAGCAAGTCACTGCAGGGTTGGAGAGCGAGAAGCAGGAGCGAATGGAAATGAGGCCGGGACACTGTGGAAGAGGCCAGGTGAGGGGGCAGGGGGAGGCCCTCTCCGTGGCCTGGGGACCTGCCACCATGAGCAGATAACACTGAGCTGCACCCCCAACCCAGAAATGGGAACTAATTGTGTTTGACAATTAATGAAGTCAGCTCTGGAGTTGGGAAAGTCTTTGAGCACAGAACTGATGCCTCAAATTGAAATCCCCAGGCCCGATTTCCCCAGGACAGGTAACAATCAAACACTGGCATGTCAGACACACTGGATGAAGTTGCATCCTTTCGAGAACAGCTGTCTAGAGTGCTTGTAGAGAGGTGGATTAAAATGAGCATGCATTGACCATGAGCCTTTCGGAGGTCCCTTACCTATGAGACAAAGGAATCGCCCCTTGTGTAGGAAACGAAGGAATTTTGTGTTTCGTCTTGGGTCTTGTCCCCAAGATAAGCACGTTAAGTGCGTGCAAATATTTCAAAATCTGAAGGAAAAAAAAATTCTTCCAAGGCTTCTGAGTCTGAGCATTTGGAGAAGGGATACTGCACAGTGACTGTGCCTTTCTTGGCTGGCTGCACGAGGCAGAGGGTGATCTAACCAGAACCTTTGAACATGAACAAGAAATATCCTCGTTAAACTGTGTGTTAACTCTAAGGTGCCAGCCAGCCTGCTGCCCCAGGGCCTTGACCGTGCACAGCTTTTGGCTCTGCAGTTGCTTTCTGGAGTTGCCCAGCAGAGCGCTTTTGGGGTTCAAGCAGGTTGCTCTGGCTTATTGCAGATCTACCCAGGGTGGAGGACCCTCGTGTGGCTGGCAGCGCGGGCACCTGGGCCTGACCTGGGGGCTCCCAGGGAGGACTGGGGGCCCTTCTAGGCCGGTAGGGAGCATGACGATCTGATTGGAGTCCTGTGTGCATTGTCCAGAAAACCCACCGTATTAGGGACATTTTGTAAACACAAAGAAGGTTCCAGAAGGGTGTAGTGAGCTCCCACACCTGTCAGCACATGGCCCATCTTCACTTCCTCTGTCTCTTCTTCCCTCTCAATTCCTGCCCACAGCCAGATTGCTTGAAGCCAATCCCAGCTTTCCCAGCTTTTTCATTCATCGGCCATTTCCCTATGTATTTCTAGCAATGAGAAAAATGTGCTGCAGTAGCATCCGGTGCCATCCAGAAATAACGGCTGCGAGCCTCGGTTGTCATCGTACTCCGTGTTTGTCTTCTAGGCAGGATTTCTTTCCAGAGCTTGTTTGAAGCCAGCTCCGAATAAACGCAGAGTGCAGTGAGCTGATGTGGCTCTTAAGTTTTGTTCCCTGTGGACTATGGCCCTAGGTTGCATTCTTTGTCAATTTCTGTGCAAGAAACCATGTGGTTTATCCTGTAACATTTCTCTAAGTCTGGATTTTTGCTGATGACACCCCAGTGATTGTTGTTGGACCTGTCCCGGTGTTCCCAGTGATGCCTGCAGTTTGGTAGCTAGGTTTTGTGTGTGAAACACGTTTGGTTTTCCATGTTTTCCCAACTAGCTTCCCAGTCGGTGGTGATGGTGAGGGCCACTCTGATCGTTTGCAGCCCTGGGTAATTATCCCCCAGATCTGTTCATTTATTAGGGAGATGCAAGCCTGATGATGCAGGTTGTATGTCTGATCCAGAATGACTGGGACCACAGGTGTTTAGAATTTGGGGTTTTTCAGTTTTGGGGCCATCTGTATGTATAGAATGAGATTTGGGGGGTATGTTCCAAGTGTAACAAGGAATGCATTTATGTTTCATATGCACCGTATACACGTAGCCTGGAGATGATTTTATGCGCTATTTTGAATGTGTGCATCTTTTCACTGCAACTGTCAGCTGAGGTCACCAGTGGAATTTTCGGTTCTCAGCATCCTCTTGGCACTCAGTGTATCAGCTGATGGAGCATTTTGAATTTTTGAATTATCCTAGTAGGGCTATCCAGCTTGTACTCCCATTCTGTGTGGGGACTTTACAAGTTCAGAGAGAATGGAATTTGAGATTTTTTTTTTTTGTGGGGAAGGGCAGTTTTTTTTTTAAAAAATCCATGCACACAAGGAATCTGGAGAAAGCTCATGAAAAATGCATACCATGAACAAGGTATGCATGGGCCTCAGAAGCTTTCTGCACTACGGTAAATCTGTTTTAATTCCAGTCCCATGAGCTTCCCGCAGGGTCTTCCCATCTTTGCTTCTTGGATTATTACTCGTAACGCTTCTGACGGGTTGAACTTTGTCAGCTGCTGATCGAAGGCACACATTGCACAGGCAGTGGGTTAGGGCTTGGGGTTTCCTTGCATTGATTGCTGTTCAAAATCATGAGATGATTCCCCAGCATCCTTCAAAGATGACCAGTGAGAGCCTGTCTTCCCTCCTCCTTCCCCTCTTTCCTTTCTCCCTCCCCCACCCTTCCTCCCCCCTTCCTCTCCCCACACCTCCCTCCCCCTCTATTACTCCCTCCCTGTCTCCCACCTTTCTTTCCTATGAATGCCTGAACTTAAACCTATTTGCTAAGCTTCAGTCTGTTGCAGATGTTATCAATATTATTGCCTCAAGCTGGCCTCCTTGCCAGCCCCCCACTCCCTCCCTGGGGCTACTCCCAAGTACTCCAAGCTCATTTTGGATTTTCCTGTATCACTTCAGACACCACCCCCCTCTGCCCTGCATGCCTCTGCCTGCCCGCCCCCCCCCAGTCTCCAGGGAGCAGGGCACATTGACCACTGTTGGTTCAGTGGTCAGGGAGATCCTCTCGTGTGTGTGTGTGTGTGTGTGTGTGTGTGTGTGTGTGTGTGTGTGTGTGTGTGTGTGTGTGTGTTCTGATGTGTCTGCTACATTCGGGTCTGTCCTTGGCCCCATCCTCTTGGCACCATTTCGGTTAAAGGTGCCAGAAGCAGAGTTCCCAGAACTGCCGCACAAGAGCATGTTTCCACCTTGGAGTTCATGATTTAAGATCTCCCACTACTTAGTGGTCTGGGACCAGAGTTTGAATGTTTCTTGCACTTCTGTTTATCTTTAGGGAATATTCCATTAGTCAATGGGATTAGCTCCTCTCTATATAGTTACATCATCAATATAGTACATCATCAAATGGATGTACATGCTTATTTGTTTCATTCCACTTTCAGTTTTTAAAATCTAATCTTGTCTTCAGCGATGTACCACATTGACAAGGTTCTGAAGTCAAATCTTCTAAGTAAGATACGTTCTTCTTCTTTTTTTGATTGGTTGGTAGATTTATTTATTGATTAGAAAGGCAGAGTTGGAGAGAGATTCTGATCTTCCTTCTACTGGTTTACTCATCAGGTAGCTGCAGGGGCCCAAGCACTTGGGACATCTTCCTCTGCTTTCCCAGGTACATTAGCAAGGAGCTGGATCCGAAGTGGAGCAGCCAGGACATGAGCCGGCTCCCACGTGGGATGCCAGCTTTATAGGCAGTGGCTTTCCCTGCTGTGCCACAGTGTCAGCCCCTAAGTCGGGTAAATTCTTCCAAGTCTGAGCTCCTGTATTAGCCTCTTTCTCATAGGGTAGTTTTTCTTATCTTATGGTTTTCTTACGATCACTTCTTCTAATGAACTTCTTCCGTATTTATTTGTGTAAGAGGACTTGAAGAAGTTTGTCTAAAAGGATTTAAACTTTTGGTGACCCAGACTTTGAAATCTGTGCCTCTGTGAGCAAACCTCTTCCACGACTGAGGATTTTTTTTTAAAAGACGAATGTATTTAAAAGGATGGCAGAGTGAGGGAGAGAGAGGAGAGAAGGAGGGAAGGAGAGAGACACACAGAGGAAGAACTCCTTTATCCCCTGCCCATTCCCCAAATGGCCTCTCAGGCCAGCTCTGGGCCAAGCTGAAGCCAGGAGCCAAGGACTCTGAATCTCCCATGTGGGTGCAGGAACCCAAGCACTCAGACCATCAGGAGCTGCCTTCCCAGCACGTTATCAGGAAGCTGGGTCAAAAGTGGAGCATCCAGGACTCTGATTAGAACCCTGATACGGGATGCTGGCAGATCAGGCAGTGCCACAATGTGGGCCCTGATGATGAATTTTTAACATTTTTACCTATTTTCATTTACTTCAAAGGTGATGGGCTGGTGATGCCTTTTAATTGCCCATTTGCTCCCCAGACACCTGCAACTGCAGCCTAGTTGGAGTAGCCCCCAATAACCCCCACCAAGCTTGCTTCCAGCCCTGGTTCCTGTGCTTGCCAGTATGTGCAGCAGACTGATCCAGTCTGTCCCATATCTCATTCAGCTCTTATGTACATCAGTAGGCTTTAGAGCCTAGCTCAACCCAACCGACCCCACTATGTAGCCCGCACTCATGCCGGCAGGTGCCACTGCCTGTCTAGCCAGGGTCGTGTTCACCAATGGGAGCTGCAACCCATGAGCAAGGTGCCTGCAGTTTCCCTACTGGACTCGCTCCCAGTCCCAGATCTTGCACTCTCTAGGTGGTTCTGCAGTCTAGCTTGACAGGATTTGCTCCCAGTCTCAGTACCTGCTAGCTGATGCTGCAGCAAAGCCAAACCAGCCTGCATTTAATTCTGGTTCATGTGTACACCAATGGGGACAGTCAATTAGCCCAACCTGGCTGTCCCTCCAACCCTGTTCACCTACAGGCCAACAAGTCTCATGTGTGCTTGTGGGTGCTGTGGCCCAGTCTGGTATGGCCTGCCTCACTTGGGCTTTGCCATTGGGTGCTGTAACCTGTCTCAGCCTGATCCTCCCTCAGTTTCAGCTCACACTGGTGGATGCTGCAGCCTGGCCCAGCCCAGCCAGTCAGCCCAGTCCCAGCCCTAATGAATTGGTTGATGTTGTGGCCCCATCCCAGACCTGGTTCCTGTGTGTTGAATTGGATCCCAGCTCTGCCCTGACTTTCTCCCTCCTCCTAGATTCGGGGCCATCACGTGGCTCAGCTGGACCCCCTGGGCATTCTGGACGCAGACCTGGACTCCTTTGTGCCTTCAGACTTGATCACAACCATCGATAAGTTGGGTGAGAGGTGGACTTACCTCTTGCTGTGGTTATCACACCTGTGCGTGGCACCTGGGCTCTGGTGACAGCCGAGCGCTTGGCGCCATAGGGAACATGTGGCTCCATCCCATCTTTAGCCACCTACTGACTCACTTGGTGGGTGTACCCTGCTCCATCCCATTTCTTCCATCAAGTAGCATCTGATGACTTCCCATTTCCCAAGACATGGGGTCCTGGAGCTTCCAGGCTGCACCTGCAGGGAGGGGGCGTAAGGGACTCTCGAAGGGGCAGCAATGATTGCTGGGCCTCCCCCTTGCCCTTCCCGTTCCCCAGCTTTCTACGACCTGCGGGAGGCTGACCTCGATAAGGAGTTCCAGCTACCCACCACCACCTTCATTGGTGGCTCTGAGAGCACCCTGTCCCTGCGGGAGATCATTCGGCGCCTGGAGGTGAGTCCGGGTAGGCGTGTGGGTGTCGGGGCCACACCTGACAGAGCTCTCTGGAGGAGGCAGGACCATTGTGGAGTGTCCCCCTGTCACTCATTGTTCACCCCAGAGCACCTACTGTCAGCACATTGGCCTGGAGTTCATGTTCATCAACGATGTGGAGCAGTGCCAGTGGATCCGGCAGAAGTTCGAGACGCCGGGGGTGATGCAATTCTCCAACGAGGAGAAGCGGACCCTGCTGGCCCGGCTCGTGCGCTCCATGAGGTCAGGCCTTGGCAAGGACTGGCTGGACCTTGTCCCTGGCCGTGGGGAGGCCCTCGAGGGGAGCACTGGGACCAGCTACAAAGGCAATTTGACCAGGAGCCAGCCCAGGACATAGCTAGGCAAGTGGGCAGGAATGGAACTCTAGGAAAGTGTGACAGTCGGGGGACAGTAGGATAGGTTGTGGCTGTGGATATGCTTGGACACAAAAGCTGGCCCTGGCTCCACTCACGGGGTGTCCCTGACACTGGACCTACCCAGGATGGCAGGGGTTCCTGCCCAGCTCTCTGGGTGCCAGGTGGCCTCCCCAGCAGCATGGCATGGGCTGGAGTTGAGCTGGGAAGAAGGTCTGTGGAGCATGGTGAGGTGGGCAGTGGGCTAGAGGAAGAGGACCTGTTGGAGAGATATTGCTGTGAGGAGGAGGGTGTGGTTTTTGGTCGGTGGGTAGCAATTCTTTAGTTGAGCTGGGAGGATCCCCGCCTCATCCTGTGCCCCCTGCAAGGTGCGACTGGCTCATGCATGGTGTCTGGGATGGTCTTGGGCTGTGCAGGCTATGTGTGCTCTGTTGCTTTCTGTGTCCCAGAGCATCCAGCTCCAAGCCCCTGAGCCCCAACCCCATCCCTCTCCATCCCTTACTTTTTCAGATTTGAAGACTTCTTGGCCCGGAAATGGTCATCGGAGAAGCGCTTTGGCCTGGAGGGCTGTGAGGTCATGATCCCAGCACTCAAGACCATCATTGACAAATCTAGCGAGATGGGCATCGAGAACGTCATCCTGGGGATGCCACACAGGTGTACCCCTCAGCCTTATCCAACCCTCTCCAGGCCCAGGGGACTGAAGTGGAAGGGACGAGATGGACAGGAGAGCACAGGGTGTTGGCAAGACCTGGGGGTTAGAGGCAAGCAGTTCAGGAAGTTTGAAGAGTCCCTGGGCCTGGCCAGGCTGTCCCAGAAAGAGCCATGTTCTTGGGCCAGAGCCACATGGGGTCAGGACTAAACAGATGCTCTAAGGATCCCGTTTGAGCTCATTGCTGTCTCGAGGATTTCATAATGGGATGCAGGATGCTTCTCAAGGATCCCCTGGATCAGGGGATATGGAGGGACCTGTCACAGGGAAGACAGAGCCGGGCAGGTGGTTCTGGATGGACTCCCCTTGGACGTAGGAATGGAAGTGAACCCAGGTTCTCCTGTCCATGCTGCAAACTGATGGCCTATTTCCTTTGATCTTGATGAAGACCCAGAAGGTGTCCCCAGCAGTGGGGGCTTGTCTTTGAACGTGGGTCTCTGGGCTCTGGGGAATCCAGCCTGGCAGGTGGACCTCCTGGTGGCCCAGGGCTGCTGAATAGGCCTCTTGAGGCTGCTCAGAGCAGCCTGTGGGACAAAACCCCAGGCCTTGCCTGAGACCAGGGAGCTCTGTGCAGTTGGACCAGCCTAGGGCCATGTCAACCCGAGGACATCCTTACCCTGTGGTTGGCCGGCCAGGAGCACAGGGTTTGTCTGTCACTGGCTCTGTGCTGGAAGGACCTGGCACCTGGCCAGAGGGCGAGGCTGAGTTGGTCCTGTGGCCCATGGCAGCTTCAGGTGTTGGCTGCTACTAAGTGTTGGCAGGCAGGGGTGGTATGCGTGAGTGGGTCAGCTTCAAGACTTTGCTGGGCAGGTGCTCAACCAGAGGAGGGTTCTGGGAACAGGGCCGCTATGCTCCTATCTTTGGGGAGGACACCCTGGGACTGGAGACTTTGTCCACAAGGGTGAGTGGGGGAGGCCCCCTTGGCAGAGTGGGTGGGGGGGACTGTGCTTCCGTTGTGGGACTGGAGGTTGGGCCAGGAGTCTGTGTGGGCCTAGGGCTGCTGGGCAGTGGCTGGAGGGATCCACAGCCATCCACCCACCCACCTACTATGCAGATTCTAATGGACTCAGGTGTGCAGGGTCCTGGGGAGTTGGGGGCAAGCAGCCTCGGTCAGGTGCGAGTGTAGCCCATCTGGCTCCAGGGGCAGGCTGAACGTGTTGGCCAATGTGATCCGCAAGGACCTGGAGCAGATCTTCTGCCAGTTTGACCCCAAGCTGGAGGCGGCCGATGAGGTGGGTGGTGCACACTGGACCTGGCCACCCCCGGAGGCTGCTGGATCTGGTTGGGGGGTAGCCTGGGGAGGAGCAGGGCTGGGGCCTACCTTGAGATGGGCATATGCAGGGGAGAGAGGGAGAGGGGCTGGGATGTTTTCATGAAGTTCTTGGGAGCAAGTCCTGCTGTCTGCACTGGCTGGGAGGACCCTAGGATCATCTGGGTCAGCCTTCCTATTTCCACCTGGGGAAACTGAGGCCTGAGATGTATAGGGCAGCAGTTCCTTGGTTCAGCCTCCATGGACATGCCTCAGTGTCAGAAGTCTGCCAACCTGCAAAGGTCCCTTTGTTTATGTGCCCAGGACAGCCATGGGAGGTCGGGAGGGCTCCCGTGCTCGTCTGATTGACAGCTGCCAGTCAGTTGAGGAACTCCTGGCAGCCCTGCCCCAGAGCACAGACATACTCACTGTGCTACCTCCCTGGGCCAGGCCCTCAGCCCACTCTGCTGTGCCCTCTCCTCTGCCCTCCATCTTGTTCAGAGTTCTGCCTAGCACCGCTTTGGGTGGTTCTCCCGACCCTCTGGCTACAGGTCTGTTCCTGCCTCTTATGCCTCCCCCTGCCTCCCTCCCTGCTGTCTTATGCCAGCCTCCTCCAGCCTGCCATCAACGTGAGGACAGGGACCTTGTGCCTACAGCCCCAGCCCCCAGAACAGTGGCTCAGCTGGTTGAAATGAGAGCCATTCCATGGCTGCCCAGGCTCTGCCTGGCATGTTAGGCCCCCAGCCCAGAATCTCTGCAACCTGGTTCCTTTCCCTTGGCACCTTCTCGGCGCCTTTGGTTGCTCTTCTGTAAAATGGGTGTAAAAGCTCCTATCTCAGAATATCTGAGGAATCCGAGGTGATGTGTGTGCAAACTGGAGAACCTGACCAGAAGGTTAGTCTTTTTTTTTAAAATCTATTTTCTTTTAATTAAAGGGGGATTATGAGTGGCAGCAGCTGGTCTGAGCTGAGGCCCATAGGAAAGCCGCCTTCCTTCCTCTGCCTGGGGGTCAGGGAGGAAGAGGAGGACCAGGGACATCACAGCTCTCCCAGCGAACGGGAGCCAGGCAGCTTGCAGGCCGTGGGCTTGGGTGTCCATCGCTGCATCCACCTGTGTGAGCCAGGGTGGGCGGGGTACGCTCCTCACGACCCAGCTTAACCCTGACCCTCAGGGCTCTGGAGATGTCAAATACCACCTGGGCATGTACCATGAGAGGATCAACCGCGTCACCAACAGGAACATTGCTCTGTCCCTTGTGGCCAACCCCTCCCACTTGGAAGCTGTGGATCCCGTGGTGCAGGGCAAGACCAAGGCCGAGCAGTTTTACCGTGGGGATGCCCAGGGCAGAAAGGTGAGCTCCCATGGACCATGAGGGGCAGGTGGGCACTGGGGGTTGGGGCTCCCTCAAGGAAGACTGGCCCAGACCCTGAGTCCCCATGGCTATGGGCTGGGGCGCAGGCGCCGCTCCTGGCTCCCACTGCGTCTTACAGGTCATGTCCATCCTGGTCCATGGAGATGCTGCCTTTGCTGGCCAAGGTGTGGTCTATGAGACCTTCCACCTGAGCGACCTGCCCTCGTACACCACCAATGGCACCGTGCACATGGTGGTCAACAACCAGGTAAGGACCAGCGGGGGTCACACACGCCAGGCTGGCAGAGGGAGGCTGCCCTGGTTCCTGCCTGTCGCTCAGCCACATGCTCACTGGTGTGTGACCTCAGTCGGGGTATCTCTGCCCCATCCCATCTCTTGGTGGGGAGCCATGATGGTTATTGGCACCCTCCTCACCACCCTAGCCACTGGGTTCGCACCTCTGACTTCTGCACCTGCAGAGTCAGCCAGCCGCAGGTGCGTAAGCTGACAAGCCTGCTCTTCCCCCATCCCCCGCACACGCACTCCCAACAAGGACAGTGTCAGAGCCGCACAGTGGCACTTCTGCTGTAATCATGAGATGACTGAAGGTGGACAGGAGGCTGTGGGGGGACCCTCTAAATCCTACCCTGTTCACGTGGAGGACGTAGGCTTTAGCAAGTTCTCATGTCGTCATGCCTGCCGCAGCCCCAGCCACAGACACAGGAGGATGATCCTGTGGGGCTGTGCAGGATTTGTAGTGTCAAAGGGATCCATGTGTCGCCAGTGCCTAGCAGGAGGCTGGGTGCTTCCTGGGCACCCCTCAGCCAAGCAGGTCTGGACCACAGATCACACCCAGGCTGTCACTTCGAGGCTGCTAGTGTTCCTTAGGAACACCCTGGGGAGCGGAATCCTGAGGCTTTGGGTGTTGAAGGTCCCACTGGTGGTCGCTTGCAGGACTGTGTCCATTGCCACCAGTGCATAAGGGGGACTGCTGGGGACCGGGGTCTGTGGGACAGCTCCGCAAGAGTTGCTGCTATGTCTCACTGTGTGCCTCCCAGGCTCCCCCTTCCAGGATCCCGAGGCCCTAAAGACCTCCGCATCCCTACCGCCTTTCTGGACCTGCCCACCTGGGAGGCCAGCGGTACGTGAGGGACCCTGAGTCATGGCCAGCTGTGATCACCCCCCCCCACAGATTGGCTTTACCACTGACCCCCGGATGGCCCGCTCCTCCCCGTACCCCACTGATGTGGCCCGTGTGGTCAACGCACCCATCTTCCACGTGAACGCTGACGACCCGGAGGCCGTGATCTATGTGTGCGGTGTGGCAGCCGAGTGGAGGAACACCTTCAACAAAGACGTCGTCGTGGACCTGGTGGGTGTGAGGGCTGCCGTGGCCAGCTCTGTGGCTTCTGGGGCGAAAAGGTGGCAGGTCCAGCTTCCCCTAGAGCCTGCACATGGGATGTGTGCCCTGTGGTTGTGGGTAGTGGGATCCAGGGGGTGTCCCAGCTTGATGGCCACCCTGTTTCCCGTGCCAGTAAGCTCTCGGCTGCCCTGCAGGTGTGCTACCGCCGGCGTGGGCACAACGAGATGGACGAGCCCATGTTCACTCAGCCGCTCATGTACAAGCAGATTCACAAGCAGGTGCCCGTGCTAAAGAAGTATGCCGACAAGCTCATTGCTGAGGGCACCGTCACCCTGCAGGAGTTTGAGGTGGGTGCTGGGGGCGGGCCTTTGAGTGCTGAGCACTGGGGGATGGGGTGGGGGCTTAAAGAAGTTGTCCAGTAGAATCCTTGTGTCCAAGAACCCTAGCTGTTAAAGTGAACACAAACCCAAAGCCGATGTCAGGCATGCTAGGAACTTAGGGGAAGCCCAGCCTCCATCGGAAGCCCAGGAGGGCTTCCTGGAGGAGGCAGCCCTGAGTTGGTTTTCTTCCAGAGGTTTACATGAGGAGGAGGGATAAGGTGCTCAAGTCAGGTGGCTTGAGTCTCCAACTGCCCAGGGCATTGCTACCACCTCTGTCCCATCCCTCCCTCCTGCACTCAGGAAGAAATCGCCAAGTATGACCGCATCTGTGAGGAGGCCTACGGCAGGTCCAAGGATAAGAAGATCCTGCACATCAAACACTGGCTGGACTCCCCCTGGCCCGGTGAGTCTACTGAAGTGGTCCCAGTGACTGCAGTCCTGGCAGCCCGAGGCCCAGGTGCTGCCCCACAACCCGAGGCTGTACCCCAGAATCCCTGCCCGCACGGGGGGGGCGGGGCTGGCAGCCACACCCACCCTTAGTCAGCTGCTCCCTGCAGAGGGTGGGGCCCAGGAGAGCACTCAGGGCAGATGCTGCGAGTGGGGGCAGGTAGACTAGGGGGCAGGGCTGGCCAGCTGGGACCCAGGGCTGTGGGAAGGTGTTGGCAAGTGTAGGAGCTGCGCTTGGTGGGAGTGGCGGCGAACAGGGCACGTTGAGGACGGGCTCGGGGTCAGCTGAGGGTTGGCGGCTGTGGACTAAGGAGGCTGCAGGCTCTTGGTGCTGGCCAGCAGAGCCCCTGCTGTTCCCACACAGGATTCTTCAACGTGGATGGCGAGCCCAAGAGCATGACGTGCCCAGCCACAGGTGTGCCCGAGGACGTGCTCACCCACATCGGCAGTGTGGCCAGCTCCGTGCCCCTGGAGGACTTCACCATCCACACGGGTGAGGCTATCCGCATGGCCCCTCTGACTCTGCTCCATGCCACAGCCTGGGCTCACCTGGGTGCCCGGAGCACTGTGTGTACGCCTGGAGGGGTATCCGTGCTAAGAGCTTTCCAGGTGTGCTTGGAGGTGCCACACTCTCCCCAGGGGTGCCGGGAACCCAACTTCCAGAATAACCTCACCACCCCTGGACAAGCCTGGGTGGCTATGAGGGGGTTGCACATGACACCTCCAGCTGTGCGCTACAGTGTGGAAAGCCCAGGAGCTGATGCAGTGGCTGGGGCGCCCTGTGGCACCTGCTAAGGGTGTCTGGGTATGTGTGTCCCAGGAGATTGGTGCAGCGGCATGCTTGTGGGACCTGGGTGCCTGGGTTCAGGTGCAGGCCCTTGAGTAGCCTAAGGAAATGACTTCTCTTTAGGAGCCTCAGTCTTCTCTCCTGGAAAGTGGGCAGGGGAGGGTGTGTGTGTGTGTGTGTGAAGGGGTGATTCCAGGGGGGATTCTGACCCCACTCATGACCCCTTGAGGCTGGCTGAAGGCAAATGCTTTCTGGGGAGTGCTGGCCTCTGAGCCGCTGCTCTGAAGGAGGCTGGGGTGGACCTGCTCAGCTGGGGGCCTGTTGCACCAGGCCTGCTTTGCATACCCAGCTCAGTGGTCCCCAGCCAATTACCAGCCATTCCCTCTTTGCCCATCTCATAGGCCTCTCTCGTATCCTGCGTGGCCGGGCAGACATGGTCAGGAAGCGCACGGCCGACTGGGCACTGGCAGAGTACATGGCCTTTGGCTCCCTGCTCAAGGAGGGCATCCACGTGCGGCTCAGTGGGCAGGACGTGGAGCGGGGCACGTTCAGGTGAGGCATGCGAGACTCCCAGAGTGAGCACGGCCGACGCCAAGTGGGTACTCCAGGAGGGCTCAAGGCCAAGGCACTCGGGAGCCCTGGGCCCAGACCTTGTGGTCATAGGACTTTGGTGGGGCTGGTGACGGGGCTGAGCCTGTGCCCCAGGCAGCGGCTAATTTAACCACCTGTCGTCCCTGGGGGCCCTGGTGAACCGACTCGGGCCAGCCTGCCCGAGATGGTGTTGACAGGGAGGTTTTGGGTCCTGCTGGGTACCAGCATGGATCCAAATCACGTTTTCCCTTGCTTGGGGGCCTGCATATTATAGAACTTGGTAGCAAGCCATAGTGACATGGTCCCTGGGGTTGGCTGTATATTTTCCTTGGGTCCCTGTTTCTCATGTCTGTTGGCCTGGTTCTAGCTACAGGCCCAACTTAAACTGGACATCCATCCATGCTAGAGCTTGGGGTCCAGCCCGGGGGTTCCCTTACCATGCCAGCAACTCCCTCCTTAGAGTTTAGGAGGGCAGATGTGGGCATCAGGGCAGAGTGTCCAGCAGCTCAGGGTGTGTCCTGCAGCATTTCCCACTCTGTCCAGCACTGGAGGGCAGGCAGATGAAGTACCACAGTTTGCCAGCGTTAGTCCAGAGGCCCCCAGCACTCTGGGGCAGCCACAGCCGGCTTGCAGGAAGGGTGGGTAGACCAGATGGCTCAGGCTGGCCAGGGCTTTCTTGGTATTGCCAGCCCTGGGAGATTTCATAGATTTCACAGGGCTGTGACAGGCTGGCCAGCCTCCCACTGCAGGGGATGGACACTGGCGGGCCTGGCCACTCTCCTTTCACCCTCCCTGTCTCCCCAAGCCATCGGCACCATGTGCTCCATGACCAGGAAGTGGACCGCAGGACATGTGTCCCCATGAATCACCTGTGGCCTGACCAGGCCCCCTACACCGTGTGCAACAGCTCACTCTCGGAATACGGAGTTCTGGGTGGGTCAGCACTGTGCCCGTGAGCCAACCCTGATGTGGGCTGTCTGCGTCAGGGCCTTGGCAGGGGGAGGGGGCTACCTGAGGGTATGGGGATGTCCCCTTGGGCAGGGGTTGGGCTGTCCCTCTCTGCGGCCACACAGGAGATGCTTCTGTCCTCGCCTGTGGCTGTCACAGCCTTTTATATTCCCTAGCCCCACCTTGTCTTCTGGGTGCTGAGGCCCCCTCCCTGGGCCCTGGACACCTGACTATGCCCCCTGGGATATCCAGCACACTCCACCTGTCCTGGGGAGCAACCAGAGCCTCATGCGCCATGCCTGTGGAGCTGTGTGGGCCTGGGGCTGGAGCTTGCCCTCCTGGCAGGTGGTCCCCCCTGCCACCCCAGGGTGTCTTCAACCTGGGCTGCTGGTGTTGATAAGGATGAACTTGACCATGTGTGACATCAGGGCCCAGGGTGTGGCATCTCTGGGCCTGTCATCAGCTCCAGGAAGGGATGTCCCAGCCTTTGAGTCCCAAGAGACTCCCTAAGGGACTTTTTCCTGACCTGTTGGACATGCCACAGGGGGACAGTATGGGACTGGAGTTGCTGCCACTTGGTGACAGCGTGCAGCAAGCTCTGGCCTGGTGTCTTCTGTTCAGGCTTTGAACTGGGCTATGCCATGGCCAGCCCCAACGCCCTGGTGCTCTGGGAGGCTCAGTTTGGCGACTTCCACAATACAGCACAGTGCATCATCGACCAGTTCATCAGCACTGGCCAGGCCAAGTGGGTGCGGCACAACGGCATCGTGCTGCTGCTTCCTCACGGCATGGAAGGCATGGTGAGGGGTCTGGCGCGGGGCACCCAGGGTGCACGGTGGTTGTCCTGCCAGCAGCCTGCAGAGTTGCCATGATGAGCGCTGCAGGGCGCTAGGGGGGTGGGAGTGGACCCTGGGCACATGGCAGTGGTAGCATGGAGAAGGGCTGTTCCTGGTCTGGGCACAGCCTGGAGGCCCTATTCCTACCTCCGGGATGAAAAGCCTGAGACACGGAGAGGGGGTGTGGCTTGTCCAATGTCACCCAACCAGCAGCTGACCTTGGAGGGTGGGCTGTACTGTCCCTGGGCTCCCCCTCTGGCATGAGCAGCCTGTGCAGCCACTCATGGGGCAGAGAAAAGGTCTGCAGGGTGGGGGCTTCCCCAGGAGGGCAGGCAGGCAGGCAGGCAGCAGAGGCATCACCCAGGGGCCGCCTCCCGCTGGGCAGTGGAGGGGATGGGCAGAGCTGGCTGGTCCAGCCACGGGGCCACCACAGATGAGGGTGTAGGTCAGGCTCCCCCAAGAAGCTGTCCATTCAAATGTTGAACTGGGGCTGAGCCCTGGGGTTCCTGTCCTGGCCGTGGTGGGCGCCCTGTGCGGGGCCAGCTGGGGCATGCACCGTTGGCTTTCAGGGCCCAGAGCACTCGTCCGCAAGGCCTGAGAGGTTCCTGCAGATGAGCAACGATGACTCCGATGCCTATCCGGTGAGTGCCGTTCCCAGGCCACCCCCTCCCAGCCCCACGGGTCTGTCCTACCTCATCAGTGCCACCCCTGGATGGCCCCCTAACCCCATAGGCTCTGTCTGGGGTGTGGGATGCACCTGCCTGTACCCCCTGCCCTGCCCCTCTATAGGTGTTCAGCGAGGACTTTGAGGTGAGCCAGCTGTATGACTGCAACTGGATCGTGGCCAACTGCTCCACGCCGGCCAGCTACTTCCACATACTGCGCCGGCAGATCCTGCTGCCCTTCCGCAAGCCCGTGAGCTGCCAGCCCCAGTCCCGGGCCACCCCAGCACCGCCGTGCGGAAGCTCTGGCCAGGCAGGGACAGCCAACCATTGGCCCGTATTTCCTTTCCCTTCCAGCTCATCATCTTTACGCCCAAGTCTCTGCTGAGACACCCCGAGGCCAAATCCAGCTTCGACCAGATGGTGTCAGGTACATGTCAGGCCCCTGCCATCGTGGGGGCCCGGTACCAGGAGGTGGCCTGTGTGTTGCCCAGTGGTCCTCTTTTCATCACCCCTCACCTCTAGGTCTCCCCAGCCATAGTTGGTGCACACACCAGCTCAGGTCACTTGAGCTGACTCCACGGCTTCCCAGGGACCATGTCGGCCCCCTCCCACCCGAGGCTCGCTCACACAGGGCTGGCCTGGCTCGGCCCGGGGAGCTCAGAGGAGGGAGGCTGACAGAGGGCTGCCTGTTTCAGGCGGTATTGGCTATCGGTCATCTCTGTGTCCCTACATGTGTGGTTTGGGGGACCTGGTGTTCCCAGCTCCGGGGGTGCCTGGGCTCTGGGGTGCCTGGGCTCTGGTCCTCCCGGGGCCTGGCAGCCTGGTGCCCTTGGTGCCCGAGTCATTGCCTGGGAGTGCAGGATGCTACAGCAGCTTCTTGGTGCGCTTTGCGACTGGCTCAGCCTGGTGCCCTGGAGCTGGTGTGAGCTCAAGAATGGAAAACACGGCAGGGCGCAGAGACGTGGGCTAAGGCCACAGGGGTGACGGGTGTGCCACAGCCTCCTGACACAGCTGCTCGGGGACGCAGCTGACAGGGCAGATTCTCAGCCAACGGTGGTGTCTTCACATGGTCCCTCTGCCAGCCCATTCCCCTTCCCTCCCTGTGACGTCTCAGCCTCAAGAGGTGCCAGGCTATAGCCACGGCCTGCACCTGGCATTGGATGGGGACCTGGTGGCCAGGAGGAACCTTGGAATGCTTGTTGTGGGGACCTAGTGGGCAGATGGTACCAGTGCCCCCTCTGTGCCGTGTCACACCATCCCTGCCTGCTCCCGCCCCCCCAGGGACCTGCTTCCAGCGGGTGATTCCTGAAGGTGGGGCTGCAGCGCGGGCTCCTGGGCAGGTGCGGCGGCTCATCTTCTGCACAGGAAAGGTGTACTACGACCTGGTCAAGGAACGCAGCAGCCGGGGCCTGGAGGAGCAGGTGGCCCTCACGCGCCTGGAGCAGGTGCACTGCTGGGGCTCTCACGATCAGGGTGACGTAAAGTCTAAGGGACATTGTCCCCAGCCCTGACTGATCCTGGACGGCATGTTGGGGGCCGGGGCAGGCCAATGGGGGACCAGCAAGAGTGCAGGCAGGCTCTGGGCCCTGTGTCCTGGGGTTGCTAGAAATGCTGATCCTCCACCCCAACCCCCTCCCTGCTCCAATTTATTCCTGCTTTGCTCCCGCAGATCTCCCCGTTCCCCTTTGATCTGATCAAGCAGGAGGCCGACAGGTACCCAGGCGCGGAGCTGGTGTGGTGCCAGGAGGAGCACAAGAACATGGGCTACTACGACTACATCAGCCCGCGCTTCATGACCCTGCTTGGCCGTGACCGGCCCATATGGTACGCACCGCCTCCCCTTGCCTCGGCCAGGCCTGCTTGTGGCTGCCAGGACGCCTCCTGGCTCTGGCTGGCTGTGGTTGGGCTGCTGTGAGAGATCAAGCCTTAGTGTCGCCATTTTCTACTGTCTGGGCCCTCACATTCCCCACTGGTTGTTAGTCATGGAGTCTGAGCTTGGACCTGTCCATGTCTAGACGGTCCTGCCCGGTGGAGGTGACCATCACTTTTACAGGCCCAACAGGAGTAGGGCAACAGGGCTGGCCAGGGCAGTAAGCAGGGAGTTAACCACGGAGGCCAGTGCACCTGCGTGCCCTGTCTGCAGGCTCCCCCATCCACATCAGGCCTCAGGCTCCTCATCCCTGGACACAGGACAATGAGTGAGAGCTGTTCTCAGTCACGGCTCTGTGAGGTGCCTGGCGCATAGTGGGTGCCCAGCACATAGTAGGTGCTTGGCAGCCATAGTCGCTGACCTTGGGAAGGTGGGGGAGGGACAGGAGGGGCTCTGAGCAGCCAGAGCTGCCTTGCTGCCCCCAGCCTTTGGTTCTAGCCCCACTTGTTGTCCTGGGCAAGTCCATTGTCAACGGGGGCGGGGGGAGGAACTTCCTCCCTGGCCTCTGGCCTGGTGAACCCAGGCAGGCAGGCAGGCAGGCAGGCAGGCAGGCAGGTAGGTCCTGCAGCTGCATCCACTTGTCTGAGGCACAAGAGTGGGCAATGAGGCCATTCGGCTGTTTGTCCTGCAGGTACGTCGGCCGTGGCCCAGCCGCTGCCCCAGCTACTGGAAACAGAAACACACACCTGGTGTCGCTGCAGAAGTTTTTGGACACCGCCTTCAATCTCCAGGCCTTTGAGGGCAAGACGTTTTAGGGCTGGCTGAGGCCTGGCTCAACATCAGGGTGGGGGGTGAGGGGGGGAGCTCCTGCCCAGGAAGAGAGGCCACTACTGAGCACCCCAGGTGGGCCACGCTCACACAGCATTCCAGGCCACAGCGTAGCTGCTGCCGGCTGCAGCGTCAGGCCCGCCTTGGCCGCCGTGGCTATTTCAGACTCTCAGGGCTGGGAAGGCCGAGGGAGCAGATAGACCCTCTGGGTTGGGGAGCGTCAGCCTGTAGGCCATGTGAGTGAGGTTGCTGGATCTGGCCCAGCCGAGGCCACAGCAGGTGGTGCTCAGAGCTCGGGACATCCATGGCTGGCTCATTTGTAAGATGGTCATTTGGCATGGTCCATGGATGGTGTTAGAAAATCCAGATGGCACTTGGCAGCCAAGGAGTTCCCCACCCCTGATGGCACATACATCCAGAATGTTCTCCCAGCTGCCCAGATCTTTCTGGAATTTTTTTTTTGTGTGTGTGTGTGGTTTCTCTATTGTTTGTGTCTCAAGATGGCCTTTAGGAACGCCCCCGTCCCACCGCCCGGAAGGTGTGGAGGCCACCACCCCCGTCCCTGCTTCTCTGTTGATACCAGAGAGCTGTCTGCTACGCTCGTAGAAATAGCCAAGGCTGCGGGAAGGCACAGGTGGACACAAAGCTGGGCAGGTCCCACGCGTGGCCTGTGAGCTATCCGCATTTGTCTGAGCCACACCCACAGCTCACACGTACCAAAGTAGACAACCAAACAAATAAAGAGTGCCTGTGAGAGACCGGCTGTCTTGGTTTTCATGGGATTGGGGGATGCGGGGCAGGGGTTCTGGGTCTGAGAGAGCACAGCGCGTGGGGAGGGGGCAGGTGAGGTCGCCGCTACCACAGGGTTCAGGCTGTGTACTGTGAGCCTGCTGACTTTTATTTTTAATTTATTCATTTATATTGGAAAGTTGGATATACAGAGAGGAGGAAAGACAGAGAGGAAGATCTTCCATCTACTGATTCACTCCCCAAGTGACCACAACGGCGGAGCTGAGCCAGTCAGGAGCCAGGAGCCTCTTGTGGGTCTCCCACACTTGTGTAGGATCCCCAGCTTTTGGGCCGTCCTCGACTGCTCTCCCAGGCCACAAGCAAAGAACTGGATGGGAAGTGGGACCCCTGGGATTAGAACTGGTGCCCATATGGGATCCTAGCACGTGCAAGATGAGGATTTTAGCTCCAGGGCTCCCATGCTGGGCCCACCAGCTCACTTCTTCCCTCTTGGGCCTGTTGGTGTCGCCCCCCTCATGATGCCGCAGTAGGGGAGCCATTGCTTGCTTCAAATCATTTGTTCATTTGCTCCTTCCCCAAGCCCTTCCTTTGAGTGCCATGCACATGTCCCCAAGACAGTGGGACAGAGATAACGGAGCTTTAAATTCTTTATGGAGGGGCTTGTGCTGTGGTGTAGCAAGCTAAGCCTCTGCCTGAGGCACTCGCATCCCATCCGAGCACTAGTTGGGAAAATAGCAGAAGATGGCCCAAGTGCATGGGTCCTTGTACCCACGTCGGAGTCCCACAAGAAGCCTCTGGTTCCTGGCTTCGATTGGGCCCAGCCTTGGTCTTATTGTGACCATTTTGGGGAGAGAACCAGCAGATGAAATATGTCTCTTTTTGTCTTCCTCTCTGTCACTCTGCTTTTCAAAGAAATAAATCATTTAAAAGTAACATCTATTCATATGCAAATGAGCCCAGCAGAAGCGCACACACCCCAGCCCCTCCCCTCATTACCCTGGCACTACCCAGGACCCTGCCCACCGGGCAGTTCTGAGCCTGCCCATGGTCCCATGAAAGTCAGGAGAGGCTCTTCTCCCCGGCGCCCCCTCACTGCCTCCTGACCCACCCGGAGCTTTCCTGCAGGGCTGGATCCAGCGTTCCCTGCCTCTTGACTTCCAGGGAGCTATGGCTGTGAAGCACATCAGACCTCATTAAGACAGATGGTAGCCCTGTACCAAGCCTTTGCTTTAGCGAGAATCTGCAGGTGGTAAACTCCTAGTCTTAAGTGTGAAGGACGCTGCTCACACTCCTACTTGCTTCTGTACTAAAGCACCTTCTGGCGGTGCTTTCTCCTCCGCTCCGAAGATCTTGTCTTGCTGTCTTCGGTTCTCATTTCTGCTCAGGCCAAGTCTTCCGTCGTGTCACTCTGCCGCCTGTGCATTCTTCTGTCTTTCAAAGTTTGATTTATTGACAAGGCAGAGAGATTTCTGGATCCCTTCACGCATGCGTACGACAGTCAGGGCTGATGCTGAGAACAGAGCCCAACCTGAGCCCTCAGCACTGCCTCCCCAGGGTACCAGCAGGCAGTGGGAGTCCAGCCCAGCTGGGGTTGAACTCAGGTACTCCCATGTCAAATGCAGGTCTTTTTTTTTTAATCCAAAAGTTCTCTATTGATCAGTACTGTGCATAATTCAGATGGCCCAGAAAAGTGGCAGGCAAGTGGTAGGCAGAGTAGACCAGATGGCGAAGACCGCAAGGCCACAGCCCAGTATGGTGGCTAGGAGACCTGCTCTTGGTCTGCACCAGGACCAAGCCTCTACCCATGGAACCCTGACCTGCGGCTGAGAAAGGAAGGCCTCCTACCTCAGCTCGGGGGACACCCTGTGGTGGGCTGCGAGCTGGGACAGGCTCCAATTCTTCCCCCCCCTAACCTCGCCCCCAGGCCTAAATATGTGGCTGGTGGTGGACAGGTTGGGGAAAGAGGGTTCTTGGGGTACAGCAGATGAGCCCTTCTCCATGTCATGCCTACCCCTTCCCTCCACATTCTGTCTGGCAGCCTTGCCCCATTCCACACAACTGCTCTGGTGGAGGGGGAAGGGCCAGAGTCCTGGAGGCCGGGGGAGGCTGGGGTGAGAACAGCAGGGCAGTGTCCCAAGGCGCAACCACCAAGGCCTGCTGCTTTCTTGAGGGCATTAGCGGGGAGCTGGATCAGAAACGGAGCAGCAGGGATTCGAACCAGGCACTCTGATATGTGGTGCCAGTGTCACACGTGGTGGTTTAACATGCTAAGCACCATGTCAGCACCATGACAAAATTTCTGTGGTTGCTTCCATGAAACCACTTCCGATCCCTTCTAGGACTGAATGTTCTGCGGAGATGCTAAAGGGATGCGAGGCTTAGACAGGCAACCGCCAAGCTGGTAGACCTTCTGATGTCAGTAACAACACCAACAGAAAGAATTCCCAGGACAAGGTTCTTTCGAGCTCACAATGCCAGGCTGAGAAGGCCCACGGATGGCAGACTCACGGCGAGGCGTGGTTGGTGGGGGTGGGTATATATATATAAAATATATATATTAAATTACTAATTATTTTTATTTTGATGATTTTTACATATTGATTGGGGTGATGAGGGTCCATGGTTTAGGAAATTTGATGAGATCACCATTTCCACATTCTCTCTCTTTCCTTCCTGTATTTAGGGGAAGGGAGGAGACAAGGAGAAAAGGAGAGGAGCCACATCAGGCTGGGTATATTTGCTCCTGTTTTTCTCCTTCTGCTTACAAAGCACCAGGGTTCCTCCCAACCCCCACGCCCCCCACGTCCCCTGCCCACCTCCTTGACCTCAGTTCTCGTGAATACACTTGAGGGCCACTTGCTGAGGTGCAGAGGCTCGACATGACGTGGCTACTGAGCAGGCTGTCCCCACACAGGGGCTTCACGGCACGGTGGCTGCGAGTGAGTGCTTGAGGACTCTGTTGCAGCCAGCTGGAGACTCCAGCAGCAGAGCTGGAGTGAACAGAGCAAGGCACTAACATTCCTCAGAAGAGGCAGATGAGCAAGACAAGCATGAGTGGTAACACCACTCAGGGTGTTTGCCCAGGACTGCAGCCCCTTCTTAGAGCGAGTGTCTTCAGGTGCTTGCTCCCCCTCAGGCCGGACAGTCCGAGGCTGCCCACTGCCGCGGGAACTACAGTCCAAGCAGCACACTTGCAACCACGGAGCTTCCTCAGGGTCGGTTTCCTGTGCATCCTGAGGGTCTCCCGGAAGCGTAACTTGTGTGTCTGCGGGAAGGAGCTGGGACTCCAGCAAATGTCCTGGGGCCGTAGAGCTCTGTCCATGGTGCTGGTGGATACCCGGCCAAGTGGGTCACCACAGTCCCAGTGGGGTTCATTAGGTTTTCTGCAGAAAAGGAGGAGCAGGTAGCCTCTGAATATGCAGGGAAATTCAGCATAGTGGAGGCTGGAGTAGACAATGTGATGGATTATCCTCTCCCACAGGCTGTTTGTCACCTCTCTTCCCGGCTGCTGTGCAAAATCTGCCTCCACCCCCCCAGGCACACCCTGAGGTCTTTTCCATCTCAGCTCCCTCTGCGTTTCTCCCTCCTTGTCCACAGAAAAGTCGCAGGAGGGATGGATGCCTTATATGCCATGCCCACTTGTCTTTTGCCTCCAATATCGTGCCTGCTCCCCTGTGAGCACCCCCTCAAACTCTTTCCTTCCATGTGGGCATGCCAGCCAAGCCAGGCTGGCTCCAGCCTGCAGCTCGTCACCAGCATGATGGCAGCAAACAGAACAGAACAGAAGCCCTTGCTGCAGACGCTGGTCGTGCAGCAACAGGCTTGGGCTTCCATCACAAGATCTGAGCTGGAAAGCTCTCCCTGAAAATGTTCGCACCAACCTCTTCTCACCATCCACAGGGAGCTTCCCCTTTCCCTGCTTAGATGGAAACTGTATTTCTGCTTCCGCCCTGGTTTCAGAAATTGCTGTCAATACCAGGACATGAAGTGGGACTCGCTGTCTTGCCTGTTTCCCTGTACCGTCTGGAGAATAGCAGCCATTCCCCTTGACAAGGAGAAGAACTTTCTGGAACACAGGCCTCTATTGTCCCAAACGCATCATCAGCACCATGGCTCTTCGCACAGCCACTCCTCAGCTAGAAGTCCTGACTTGTCCCGACACCTTCTCCCCACTGCCCTGCCTCCTGAGAAAGCACCCTTTCCCTGGTACAGCGACTTGGGCTGGTCAGAGCTACTG